GGTTGTTTCTTTCAGGTTCCTCCCATTTATGCTGATTGTTGTCCGTTGTTGTTGATGTTGCTGTTGGTGTTGGTCAGGAATCTTCATCACCTCTTTTTTCTCCTATATGTTAACCTGAAGTCCTATCTCTGATGCTTGTTCTGCCAGCTTGTTGATTTTCACTTGCATATCTTCCTGTTTGTGGGAAATCAGACGTATATCAACGGTGAAGTTCAGATCCTCCAAGGTTTTTGTGTGAGTCCATTTTATGCCTGTTTCCTCATTGGCCGTTGTCTGTCGCATTATCCAATCTACTGCAATCAGGAAGATCATTGGCGATACTAGGCAGCCAGCTTGTCTTACTCCCGTCCTAACTTCGAAGGCTTCCGTAAGTTTCCCGTTGTGGATTACTTGGCATGCAGCATTGTCGTATAACTGTTGGATGAGATGAATAATTGTCGATGTGACCCCGTAGTAGCGAAGTAGTTTCCAGATGACCTCTCGATCGACGTTGTCGAAGGCCTTTTCAAAGTCGATGAAGTTGAGATAGAGAAGTGACTACCATTCCAAGCTTTGTTCAATGATGATCCGTAGTGTGGCGATTTGATCAATACATGACTTTTTTCTCCTGAATCCAGCTTGTTCCGGTCGAAGTTTTTCATCCAGGGTGGTGTGTTTGATTCTCTCCAGGATGATGCGGCTTAGTACTTTGCTTGGGATGGACAGGAGCATAATTCCACGCCAGTTTTTGCATCGACTTAAGTCTCCTTTCTTTGGTAGTTTGAATAAGTATCCCTTCTTCCAATCCTTGGATACTTTGCCCTCTTTCCACACCTTCTCTAGTAATGGCGTCATCAAGTTCGCTGTTGTTACTGGGTCCATTTTCAATGCTTCTGCTGGGATTCCATCTGGCCTGCTGCTTTTCCAGCTTTTAGCATCTTGATTGCATTCAGGACTTCTGATTTCCTCGGAGTGGGGGTTGATGTTCACTGATAGTTCTGCTTCCGTTGTTGGCATTTTTGGGCGCGCTGTAGGTGGCGGACGATTTAGAAGTCTTTTGAAGTGTTCATCCCAGTGTTTTCTTTGCTTCACTTCTTTGGTGATTGACTTTCCATTGTCATCCCTTACTGGCTTAATCTGTGTCGAACTTTTGCCCGATAGGTGCCTAGTTGTTTGGTAGAGTGTGGCGAGGTCTCCTTTGCCTGCAGCTTGTTCTGCTTCACTTCCCATGGCTTCATAATATTTCCTTTTGTCTTCCCTGGCACTCTTCTTCACTCTTTTGTTCAGCGTATTGTAGCTTGCATTCAACTCCTGTTTTTGTTGCTCGTCGGTGCACTGGATAATCTTTTGTTTCACTATCCTTCTCTCCTCTATTAGTTTCCATGTGTCCGTAGTGAGCCACTGTTTGTCCTGCCTCTTCTTTCTGCCTAACACTTCCATGCAGGTTTGACTCCACACCGTTTTGAAGTTGTTCCAGTTCTTTTCGACGCCGACCTCTTCGCTAATGTTGATTTATGTCTCGGCTCTTTCCCTTATGTTTGCAATGAAGATGTCCTTTGTAGCCTGGTCCTTCAGTTTTTGAGTGTTGAACTTTGCTTGTGGTCTGTCTGCAGCTCCTCCTTCTCTGAAAGCTTTTAATTTGATCTGGATTGTCCCTTGTACGATGGGAAATAAGACGAGTCTTTTTATAGTCAGAATAAGTAACTAGTTAGAATGTTAAAATGTGAATTGTATATATTTTAACATTATCATTTATTATCCTCTGATTTGACTGACTGGTGATAATAATATCTCCCATATCTCTGGTATTTGCGTTGAGTTCCTTCTATTGCATGTGTTGGGTGTAGACTCAATGAATGAGAATTCAGTAATCAACCTCTCTGTCTCTCCACCTGTCTCTATTACTTCTTAGAAATTTGGCTCTATCTCACCCTATTATATGGTTGTGTTAATGCATGCAGTGCGATTGCTGAGATTTTTTCTAAATCACTTATCTTCTCGGGGTCAGTCATTCTAACCGTAGCTAAATTCTTGTGTTCCAACAATCTAACTACTCCCGACCTATGTAGTTGACCTCATTCACAGTCATTCCAACGTATTTTGTAAATTATATTATTTTGTTTAATTGGGTCAACCGACAGGGTCCTTTAACCTACATAGCTTGTCCTATCTGAGTGAGCTTGTAGGTTAGAATGCCACTCTAATTCCTGCTTTATTTGGAATCCTACGTAAGGTCTCAGGTGTCACTTATGTTACTATGATTACTATTATTATTATTAGTCTCATCATTATTTTTATTTTGTTTTTGACTTTTTTTTGATATTGCTAATGAATTTTTGTGGGATAGTTAGTTATTTAACACCAACCAGCTTTTCTTCTGTCTGTTTCATTTCATCGTTTAGGGTTTTCTTTTGTTGTTGTACTGCTTAGTAGTGCTATTGCTCAATTTTTGTTAGACACTTAACTAAGCCTGCCTACCTGCCTGTTTTTTCTGAATTCAAGTTTCCTCTTTACTGAATTTTTAAGCGACTATGTTTAATCAGACAGAACCAGGGAATAAATGGTGTTTTAATATCATTATTGTTAAGGTAGGAAGACATTTTGAAGCGAGAGAAAAAAGAAGAGCATAGGAATAGCTTATCTCTTTCTGTTATCTAAATTTTAATTCTCATAGTCATTAATTCTTCATGTGTTATAATTATTTATAAAAGTGATATGCTTTCATACACTTAAAGCTTTTTAGTATACCTTTTATATCTTCTTCCATTATAAATTAAATGACACGAAAGTTTATTCACAGGAGAAACAAGCCTCATGAAACCACTTGAATACTTCCTTTTTTTTTCTTTAAAATTTATTGTACTTAGTTGACTGTTTGAGTAGAAGAGGCAAGTGAATCTCTTTTATTTTGTCTAAATAAGTGTGTATGTGTGTGTGTCAGTGTATGGATGAGCTCGACACACGCACACACGAACACAGACGGGAAGTGCAGAGACACGAGACAGAAAAAGGAAATAAGAAATATAAGAAAGGAGGTTAATAAAGTCAGTAATGATTAATGATGCTTGCCAAAGTGATATAACAGCGCAATTATTTGAGATTTCAATGACATATGTATGTATGTACGTGTGTGTGTGTGTGTGTATGTATGTATTTAAATCTACAAATTTTCCCCCAGCTTTTTATCCTTCTAATAAAAACACCCGATGATGATACATTAACTAGTGGTTTATTACCCTAAATGTACAGATGAAATGTATTGATTGTGAAAACCTGCATTAAAATTACGATAATGATTTTGAATACCAATGAGATGCTCACTGGCGACTGGCCCTATTCAGGTAGGTAGTTACCTAGGGTTGTAGTGGGAAGTCGTGACCAGTAGGGTGCAGCAGGTCGGGTGTGATGACAAATACTCGCCGAAGACATTGGCTAGCGGCTGCGCTATATCATGAATTGACAGAAGTTAGAATTCATGGGATGGCCATTGGATCGGGTTCCAGTGGCTTAATGGTCTATGAACTTGCTGAACTTGTAACCAGAAGGTCCTGGGTTGGGACCCCGGTGTGTGCGTATTGCTGAAGAGTCCCAAAGTAGGACGGAGGAAACAGCTATCCAGTACTCCCAAGTTTTCCAATAGTTCTTTAACCAAAGTTAGCTCATGATGAAATCCTGTAACCAATCAACCAAATTCCTAAAAAGTAGTACTTGGGTGTAATCATTTTGTTATGCACACAGTTCGCTTAGTTAAGAGGTAGAACCTTAGTAAAAAGACAAGTGTCTAGTGTTATAGTATAATTTAAACACTTATATACATTATCAAATACAAGGGAGAGTTAAGTAGTCATGAAAGCAAAGACAATTATTACTTAGAGGATTTCATCATGAGCTGGCATCAGTGAGAAAAACATTTTAAAACCTCGGAGTACAGTCATACAGCTGTTCCGTCCTAGTGGTTTTCGATTCCAGGACCTTCTGGTTAGAAGACAAGCCGTCGGATTGGGTCCCAGTGGCTCAATGGTCTACGAGCTCGCTGGCCTTGTAACCACACAGTGCCAGGTTCAAATCCGCGTGGGTGCATACTGATGAAGAGTCTGGAGCACTAGGACAAAACAGCTGTCTGGCAGTTCTTCCTGAAGGTTTTCCAATAGTTCTCTAACTGATGTCAGCTCATAATGAAATCCTCCAAACAATAAAACAAAAAATCCCTGCAAACCGATACAATTAAAGACAATTAAAACTCGTAAAACATAACTAATCCTTACAAACCAAACTATAGAAAATTAAAAACACTTCCTGGCGTATTACGGAATTATACCTCTGTTCTTATGCTGTAATAAACTGATTTACCTTTTACACGATGACTATTCAGTGTTTTGAGCAGCAGTGTGGATACAGACTTTAGCTCAAGATAACTATCTTTCATATTAACACAAGTGTTTCTAAGCCTGCCATCTCGTCTTAGGGCAACTCATATCACTGACAAGCACTTCGAGATGCCTTTTTTTTTATTACAGCTTGCTTCTACACCGTATTTTTGGTACAAGTATGGAATTTCCAGCATGTGATATCGGTAGCCCAAATTTTGTAGGCCGAACATACGTAACATGAGCGAAAAATACATTTAAGCCTCTTAACTTTGTGATTAACACTCTCAATGTATGCTTTAGAAATATTACAGTTGAAAAATCATATGACGCAGTGCGGTGTAGTATTTATTTGAGACAGTCAACTTTGACTCGACAATTCAGCTATGCATCGGTGCGTCGGTGGCACAGTGGTTGGGACTCTCTCCGACCATGCACATGGTCCGGGGTTCGAGCCCACGCCGGCGCACACCTGATATCTATGGTCGGCCTGCAAAATTTGGGCTACCGATATCCATGCTGAAAATTCCATACTTGTACCAAAAATACAGTGTGGAATCAAGGTGTAAATCAAAAACAAATAAATAAAAAATATATATATGACATCTAGATTTACAATGTTTTATTGTTGTTTTTAAAAAATTTTTATTTCAGGCCAAATGTCATCGATACTGGCCAGATCTCAATCATACTGTGAATTTCAATGTTTCAACAAGTCCTAGGATTCCTCAGCTGCGCAGTTCAACAGATCTACAGCTGAAAACTATACGAGAAGAAGTAATTATTCATTAAATATGAAGATAATATTTAAACTTCCTAATGAATAGCTATTCATGTTTAGACATCTGTTATTTTTTAATATATATATATATATATATATATATATATATATATATATATATATATATATATATATAGTGAGGAGAAATCCACTGAATTTAGATTGACTGGTTATACATGGCCTTTGTTTACCGTTGGAGTTCACACCTACCGTCTTGGTGAGCATTTCACTTGAGGCAGGCTTAAATTAACCGACTGGTCTTCATATACAAGAATAATGCTTTATCTTTATTGTCTATCGAATAATTAACTCACTTTTTTTTACAACAAATTTTAACTAATTCAATTAGTGTTGTGAAGTTATTGTTAGAAACCGACCCTTCTCACGTTGTAGACCAGAAAATATGTGGAAAATTTACTATTTCCCCGTAGTTTTTTTTTTCTTGATCAAAGTTAGAACAGCTGTACACTTCTGTTAATGATTATTCGATTGTTCTTTACAGTTGATAACTAGGTTTATGTCAATGTGGGAATTTAATTTTCCTATTAAAAGCATAACACTATACTGAAAGACGTTCACATGTGATTTATGAATTTACTGCACTTTATAAAAATACTCACTTGTTTACTTTGATTGGATATTAGTTAGAAGCTAGTGGAATATGTCGAGTCCTGTCTTTAATGAAGACTGAATTCTGTCAGTCAACTTTGCAATGTGTTCACTATGCCACTGGAGGACACACGTTCGAATCTAAAAACGGACATGAGTTCTTTCAAGATTTCAGATACGTCTGTGCTGAAGAATGCCAACTAGCTCGAAACCTAGTTGGAAGGCTTCCTATGCCCGATCGCCTCCAACTATCTAATATCAGTGATCGCTTGTTCTTTATGCAGAATGTAGGGTCCTTAGGCTACCATAATCCCAAACAATTTACTTAGGAACTCTCCTCTCAGTACATACATGATTATTTTATACTTAGGCTAGCTGAATTTCCATCATTCATTTCATACTTAAGTAGACTTCATTACTCATTTAGCCTAATACAGTCTCCTGTGCTATTATCACTGGCAAATCACGAGCGTAGTACTGGTATGTTTTTGCATCAACACCAGTCTAACCGAAAAAGCCCGCAGAGCCATTTAGTTGGAATGTACACTTTAAGTAAAATATTTTCCTTGTATATAGCATAGCGGTGATAAACGAATCACTGGATTACGATTAGTTTTAGTAAAAACGTGAGTGACATTCAAGCATGCTTAGTGTAAATCATTTAGTGAATATCAGTGATGCATAAAGTTTAAACACCGACACAAAAAAGCTACTTCTTATCGTTAATCTTGTACAAAGTTAAGTACCAAGATTCACCCATGGAAAAAATTTTATACAGGAATATCTAGTAGCTGTTTAGTCACCCAACAGAGATTAAGTTATTTATGTAACATCATTCTAGCCTCCTTCGAATAATAAGTTACTGATGAACTTCATTGAAGACTGCTGCTGCCACTCAGCAGTTATGTCCACTGATCTATGGACAATGTCACATTTTCCAGTTTGACCACGCAGTGATATCATTTAGAGAACCATTGAAAACCAGGAAGTACTGGACAGCTGTTACATCTTAGTTTAGAACTCATGGGATATACCTACCCACCGGAGTTCGAACCTTGGATATTCCAGTTACAAGTCAAGCTGGGTTCTGACTCAGTAGCCAGCCCATGAATTCTAACTTCTACCGATTCGTGATTCCCGATGTCTTCCAACTTATGTCAATCCATGGCAAAAATTGAAACAAATCAGTTCCCAAACGAAGCAATTCATGAAAATGTTATATTTTCTCTACTTTGATGTTGAGCAAGTTGACAATGTAGTGAGGTGTAAATCATGCTGAAGGTGAACTAAAGGAAACTGTGCTTTACCGGAACTTTCTACATTTTGCAGTGCATTGACAGGATGTCCTGAATTAGTTGCAATCTCCCCATGGAAATGGAATTTTTTTGGTTTGGCGCTACATTCACAGTCATTGTCACTAAGTGGTGTGGGCCGCAACCGATGCCGTTTAAACTTGATTAGATAGAGTAATCATTTAAGTATGATGGAGAAGATATGTAGCCCAAGTGGACGTTTTTGATGAAGTTGTGTTCTCTGAGCTGGATGGTTTATGTGCGAAGTTCTCACTGCCCTACTAGTCACTATCTTCAGCACATTCTTCATTTTGAAGTGAGCTTTTAGATTACTCCACGAGTTTATTAGACATCTCTCCTGGTGACCTTGATCATGGTGATTGGTTGCTTTTGAGTGTTTTCAAACCCTTAGTAGCAATACAAGTAGCCTAGAGGGTGTAAAAATACAAGAAAACGACTAATCACGACATTCAAGGTCATCAGGAGAGAAGTCTAACAAACTCGTGAAGTAATCTAAAAGCACACTTCAAGTTGAAGTATGCGCTGAAGATTTTGCCTGGTAGGGCAATGAAAGCTTTTCAAATAAATCATCCAGCTCAGAGAACACAACTTCATCAAAAACAGTAATCATTGTCTGAAAAAAAGTGAAATCATAAGGTTGAAGCGTTTCTTGGTCACACCTGACATAAATTATATATTCTTGTCTAATAAGGACAGACGGAAGTGGATTCAGTACTCCGCCTCTTCTAGTTGTTTGAATTCATTCATCACTAAGTATTTATATTTCTTCACAAAAACCTTTTGTATTGAATTAAGTAGCTTTCGACACATTTACATATATAATACGCGTCGGTGGCGCAGAGGTAGAATGCCCGCCAACCACGTATGTCGTTCGGAGTTCGATCCTTGGCCTATGCACTCCCTTATCTGACTAAGCCATTAATAGAACTACCAAAGAGGCTGACTAGTAACCATATCCTTAAAAATGAATAAACACCACTGCTACCGAAACTTCAAGCCTCTAGCTTGAAGTCCAAGGAATGAAATAATAATAACAAATAATATATATGATGCACAAGGCTTTTTACTTAATTTTCTACTCACCTAATGCTACTGATTAGTACACCATGAATACCTAATTCTGACAATCATTCTTTATTCCTTGTTTTAACTTGTTTTTAACCAGATAACTTCAGATGTCGCCTATCGAGAATTCGACATCAGCCAGTTGCCTTCAAGTCGTACCTCTTTACAATCTGTCCTACGAAAAAATACAGAAACACGTCGTATTACACAACTACAATACATCAGTTGGCCTGATCATGGTGTACCAAATGATACAGATCAACTGATAGCATTTGTAGAACGAGTTCAACGCATCCGTGGAGAAACTTCATCACCAGTAGTTGTACACTGTTCTGCTGGTATTGGTCGAACAGGCGTTCTAATTGCTATTGAAACCTCGATCAACTTAATGGAACGCAACTTTCCTGTCAAACCACTGGAATTAGTTCAACGAATGCGTGATCATAGGGCTATGTTAATTCAAACCACTGTAAGTAAATAGGTTGTTATTTTTTTTAAATAAATTTAAATATTTCATATTTCTCAGTTTTGAAAAGAAAAGTATTTGACCTTGAAGATATGATTGAACATTTCTGTCAATTAGTTTAAATATGCCACTTGATATATCAGGTTAATTAGTTTTTCTGACCCTAAAATCTTTTATTCTTATGAGAATCTTTAAAGACGAATGAGGTTATAAAAGTTTTTGGTTAAACTGATAGGCTCACATCTGCATTTTGAAAAGTCTACCAGTTACCTATTCATTTAAATTAAATTAATCAGTTCTTTAAAATCGCTTAATTGAACAATAATCTTTTTGTAATTTGTGGATGGTGACTAGCAATGGAATCCAGGATGTGCATTTCGTCCTATTTTGGACCCTTCATCTGGATGTACCTTTATTTCTCAGTGAGTGATAATGTTCCCACCGAGGCTCGAACCTAGTGTCCATAGTTTCAAACGCCAAAGCACTTCGGTCTAATCAATCGACGGGAAAATCTAAAATTCAATTAAAATAATCTTTTTTTCCCTCATCCATTAGCTTTGAGGTGAAACGGTTATCATATGTAAGGGCTCAGTGGTAGTTGGAAGTGATTTCACCGGTTGATGGATTAGTAGGCTTCAGAAGCCATAGGTCATTTGTTTGTAAGGCGATATGTCTTCCTGTTAGCCTGAAAGTTCTTGAATGATTCCCTTATGAAATTGAGGTTGACTACTGTTGAAGACACTGAAATTAGAAGGAAATCAGTCCTTAATTTTCAATGGTTTTCTAGCTAGTATTGGTTCATGGACAAAATTACTTTGGGGTTGTATTTGGCTTATGAGAAAATACTTTTCTAACATGCAGTTGTCATTCAAGGACTTAGTAATGCCTTGTTCATCAAAAGATGTGATTCTCTGTAGTATGACACTGAAAAAGAGTTAGGCGTGTTTGCTAGAGAAGTGTACTGATAACTAATAGCAGAATAATATAAAACTACTTGTAAATATGAATGAGAGAATAACACATGTCTGTGTGTGTGGGGGGAGGAGGCATATGACCGATGTACTTTACAGTCTTCCTGTCATTTCAGAAGGTATTGGAATAGATGGCCATATTATTATGTTTTCTGATTTCCTTTTAAAGTTGGCATATGTATTCAATCACTGTTTTTGCATAGTAGCACATGAATCCAAACTTGCAAGCGAAAACCGACAAACTGACAGAAGAGACTAGCAGTGAAGACATCACTCCAGGTGAAAATAGAGAAGACGGAGGTGATGGAGATAACCAACCAACCAGCCAACAACAACAACAACAGCAACCAGCACCAATTACCATCAACGGGAGAGATTTAACAGAGGTTACGTCCTTCATCCTTATCTAGTCAGTATGCATTATTTCAACTATAGACAGTCGGATCGGATGAAGATTTGAACACCAGACAGAATCGGAGAGGTGAGATACACCTTCATCAACCTGAAACCAGTTTGAAAATCCTCTACACTCAGCATAAGGAAAAAGATTCGGATTTTCAACATCAGTGTAAAGTTGGTCATTCTATACGGGTCATAAAAAGGATCTCCAACAGGTTGCAGACTTTCATCAACAGCTGCCCACTTCGCTGGCTCCATACTGAAGATCAAACGGCCAGAAAGAATTAGTAACAAGAAACTCTGAAGGGGAACAAACCAACTAAGTGTTGATGGCTCAATAAATATGTGGGAGAAAATGGAGATGGACAGGGTACACTCCGAGGAAACCGTCAAATGACATCGCGTGCAATGCAGGCCATCCCCCTCAAGTGGAATCCGGATGGAAAGCGACGAGTGCTTGGCTGGTGCGAGGGTGACATGAAGGAGATTGTGTGAGGAAGAGGTGACAGAGTTTGGGAAACCCAGCTGGAGTGGATTTTAATTTTTGATTACAGCTTGATTCCACACCGTATTTTTGATACAAGTATGGAATTTTCAGCGTGGATATCGGTGGCCCAAATTTCGCAGGCCGATCAAAGATATCAGGTGTGCGTCGGCGTGGGCTCGAACCCCGGACCATATGCATAGTCAGCGAGAGTCCTAACCACTGTGCCACCGAGATGTGTTGTTGAAGCCTGGAACCCAAGGGGACAATAATAAAACATGAATCCAACAACAGATTTTCTTAGTAGCCTAAAAGTAAACCCCAGAGTAATGAAACTTGAGTAGTTGATAGTTTATACTCATGGATTTTGGCAGGACAAAACGTTCTAGAGTTTTCGTCATATTTAGCTATTATCATTATTACCAGTCAAAGATCTCATCACCCGTTAACTTGTGAAATGGTGATCGTTGACACTGTATCATAATTTGTAAAAAAAACCGTCATCAAATGATTTTGTTCATAAATGTCTTGCGTTTTGTCTTTTTACTGCCTCCACAGCTTCCAGAAGGCTTATTGTTATGTACCAGCTTGTGATATACCTACGGTAATTGTATTCTGTCGCTTCAATATGTAAAACCTAGTAAAATTGGTCTTTCTTTCGTGAACCAGTTAGCTAACCACTGAGAACAGATATTTCCTCCTAGTTTGGGACTCTTTAGCAGTACACATCTCTAATCCTTCTACGGATCACAGCGTTTTGAGTTGTAGTCTTACTCTGTCTGCTCTTCAGTAAAACTCTTTTGTTTTACAATGATTCATAAGATGCTCAGGATCCTTAAAACCATATCAATTTTTGAATTATTTGCTTTCAGATTCAATAGACAACATTTTCAACCCATAACTCAATGTAACAAAATTTCGTTTGTGTGAAATGCAGGCAAGTAGGCGAGGGACTCGAGTGAATTATATGCGTCATGTGATGGTAGTTGTGACGTTGACGATATATTGCATCAAAATCCCTGGCACCCGTGGGTGGACTTGTACAATCAAGTTTTTGGTTAAAAGACAAACACTCTAACTTACTAGGCCACTGAAGTTGTATTAACAGACTGAAACAGTATTACCTTTGTGGATAAAAAGGAAGTGATAGTTAGTTATCTCCGAGTATTGGTTTTGTAGGGATTTTGTTTGGTTGATTGGTTGGTTGGTTGGAGGATTTCATCATCAGCTGACATCAGTTAGAGAACGACTGGAAAACTATCACTGGAGTACTGGAAAGCTGTTCCATCCTAGTTTGGGACTCTTCATCAGTATCCATTCACCGCCAGAGTTCGCGCCCAGGACCCTCTGGTCACAAGGCCAGTGAGCTCGTAGATTATTCAGCCACTCGGACCTGATCCAATCAGTCAAATCCCTACCACACCAGTACTTAAAAATTATTCTGACTCTCACTAGCGATTGGCCCTATTCAGGCAATGACCTGGGGTTCTAGTGGGAAACCGTGACCAGTAGGATACAGCCGGTTAATTATCTAACTGTAGCTTTTAAATAATGTTACGCTGAAAATGCAATAAGCATTGGAACGAGGATTTATTCTGGTTTTATGTCTCTGGCAATGGCCACAACAAAATATCACTAAAGCCACTGAGTTTTGTGAATAAAAAGTTTCTATATTCTTTCTGTAAATTCCTGTCTATGATACACATCCTTATTAATCTTACAAATATATTAAAATTTAGCCTCTTAAAAACGCTTTTGGATAATAATAATAGTTTGCTTCGTGACTTGCCAACTTTATTCGGAAATCAAAGTACAGTCTACACTTTAAATTTTATTTTAATTGATATTAATTGAGTTTTTGTCATACTGTTCTTTTAGTGTTTTTAATAAAGCTGTGAGATGTGATAACCTCAGAAATCTTTTCGCTTTTTTATTTTGTTTACTTTCATTCTCATCTTTAGGGTCAATTTCAATTCGTGTGCGAAACTATTCTCAAGGTCTTTCATCGTAAGTCCAGTTGGCTGTGTTTACCATTCTCATAGATCAATAATACTTCAATCGTTTACTCTACAGTTAGTGAGGAAAATCACAACATCTATATATCAAATGTATCACTCAAACTTTGAGCATAGTAGTTTTTATCTCGAAGTTACCAGTTTCAAAAATAAGTCGGAAAAAGATTCACTAAAATCTGTAACTGAAATTCATCAGTGTAACGTTGTTTATCTGTCTTCATGTGCATACATAAGGAAAAACCTATACAGGTTTTTGCTGAAATTCTTCTAGATATTCCCTTGGGTTCTAGTGGAACACAGGGCGTCAGCAGCACACTAACATTTCATTCTATTCTCTGGCTACACAACTGCCCATAAGGTGTTATCTCCCACTTACACGATCTCCTACACGTCACCCTCGAACGCCCACCTCGTCATTTCCGATTCTAGTTCCACCTGAGAGTCTAGAGTGTGATATCGCTTGTTGGTCTTCTCATTGCATATTTATTCGGCAGTAGGTTGTTGGTTAGTACGTTACCAGATTTCCTTGGTGCTTTTTCTTTCTGGTCATCTGATATTCATAATGCAGGTTGGAGAGGTATCTGTTGAAGAAAATCTGCAGATTGTTGGAAATGACCTTCTTGATACTGAAGCCAAGTCTTCGAACTTCATTGCAGCAACAATTCAATACTAGTGTTGAAAATCGGAGTCTTGTCCCTTATGGTGACTACAGAAGATTTCCGCACTGATTTCAAGCAATGAATGCCTGTCTTCCTTTTCTAATCCTGACTGGTTTTGACATCCGTATGTATGCTATCTACAGGTGGAACGATTCTCCTAACATAAGTGAAAGTGACACCTTCTTTTAGATTTTCAACTATTGATTATGTAGGGATTTTGTTTTATTGGATGGAGGATTTCATCATGAGCTGACATGAGTTGGAGAACCATTGGAAAACCTGCAGGGAGTACAGTCAGACAGCTGTTTTGTCGTAGTTTGAGACTCTTCGGGAGCGTACTACTTAAGAGTCCCAAAATAGGACAGAGGAAACAGCCGTATAGTACTCCCAGACTTTCCAATGGTTCTCTAACTGATATGAGCTCATGATGAAATCCTACATGCAATCAAAGAATTATTAACTAATTCCAGTAAGTTGGATAAAAAAGAAAGATTAAGGCATTTCGCGTCGGTGGCATAGCGGTTAGGACTCTCGCCGACCATGCACTTAGTCCAGGGTTCGATCTCCGGCTGACTCACTCCTCTACCTCGCTAAGCCAGAAATAATGCTGGTAAAGAGGAAAGGTTGGGTATGAGGCTAGCAACCCCCTTCCTGTAAGATAAACACTGCTACAGAAACTTCAAGCCACTCGCTTGAAGCCCTATGTTCCACTGGGGAACGTGAAGGTAAGAAACGGCATTTCGCAGCATTAATCCATAGAAACATTTTCAAAAGATGTTGGGATACGTTGGTTCACAATCTAACAGTCAAACATAAATATGACAAGCTTTTATTATGGCACCAAGTTGATTGACACCTTGTTGCGATGTATAGAAATTAATCGACTTCATCGCTTTACTATAGAGCGGTAATAAATACATAACAAGATGGTATATACTACTGTTTCATTTGAGTAGTTGGAAGCCACTCACTTCAAACACTATTGCTCTACATCAGAGTTTTCTTCAAAACATCTGACACGGACACTACAAAGCAAACTTGTTCATGTAAAACACCAAATTTCTAAGGATTCCCTAACTAATTGTGTCTATAAAATAAAATGCTTAGAATGTGATGTGATATACATCGAACAAACATCGCTGGAGAGAAATCAAAGTCAGGAGGAATGAACACCGTAGAGCAGCTTCTGTTCGACCACCGAGAAATCCAGTTAGTGAACTAGAAAAGCTTGAAAAATCATCAGTCATAGGTCATCTAAACGCTACGCCATAGAATCAGGCCAAAAATTGATTTTGACAATTTCGAAATAATCCAGAAAAGTTTCAGAAATCACAAAGAACGTCTAATATCAGAAGCCAGCACTTCATATTAAATAGAATCCAAATTGTCTGAATGACCCAAACTTTTTCAAACTGTTAAAAGTGAACTTGGTTTGAATACATGCAGTATAGCCTGTTCTCTAGACTGAAGTGATCCAAACATAGGATAACCAATTGTTTCATTTTGTGTTCAGGTCATAACAATTAGTAGTGTAAACAATGTTATTATATTTCCTATTCTCTTGACTACCACTCATGGCATCAAGTAGGCCATGTATTGGAGTAAAACTTTTGGTTTCCCATGGAAACTGTGGCGAATTTACGCCATGAATTGTTTAATTTGCAAATGACAGTACCAGTTCTATTTATTACTAGTTCGTCCAAATGGCTAGACTAAATTCATGTGGTTGAATTTGACAAAGATGTCTGACATGAGTCTCATCGGTTAGATCAGTCACCAACTCGGCCTCGAACAACCGAAACAACCATGAGGTGTTTAGATTACATCACTTCTCCTTATTTGCTCTACTAATTGAAGTGAGTAGTTTCCAGTCGCACATATCAAATAGTACTTCATATCTTTTGATTGAACACTAGTAACTAGTGTGACGTGTCTAGTCCTTGGTGTTTCGTTCAGACTGAATCATATCAGTCAGGTTTGCAATGTGGCCACTATTCATATAAATAAAGTTTTAATTGAATTGAATTTTTTTGATTTTCCCGTCGATTGATTAAACCGAAGTGCTCGGTCTCAGATTGACATGTCGGCTTCTTGTGCAGATGCTTCGACAATGCCTGGGCATGTAATTATAAGTTAATTAGTGGATAATGACTGGCAGTGGAATCCAGGAAAACGTGCATTTGCGACTCTTTATCTGGATGTACCTGCATTCCGCAGTGAGTGATGATGTTCCCACCGAGGCTCAAACCTAGTGCCCATAGTTTCCAACGCCAAAGCGTTATCTACCATAAATGCGCATCCTGGATTCCACTGTTCATAAATACAATGCCCAGGCATTGTCGAAGCATCTGCACAAGAAGCCGACATGTCAACCTGACACCAAGAACTTCGGTCCAATCAATCGATGGGAGAATCTAAAAATTAAATTACATTAATATGACCCGATGCGCAAGAGGTGGCTCTCGTGGCCCATGTGGTCTAGTGTATAACGCTTTGACGTTGGAAACTATGGGCACTGGGCTCGGTCCTCGGTAGTGGGAACATCATCACTCACTGAGGAATGCAAGTACATGCAGTGATAAGTCTCAAGTAGGACAAGATGCGCGTTATCCTGGATTCGACTGCTGGTCACTATCCACCGATTAACCTATAAAGTTTTAATTTAGCTGAAATCACATCTACGTATTTGTCATTTCTTTGTATAGTTCTTTTGAAATATATTCATTAGGCTCATATCTATTTAACCCTTACTATATTTGAATTCTCATCTGTTTGTGTCTGTATAAACTAATATTTCGCTATTTTTTTATGCTTCTTCATATCCCACACAAAGAAATATAGCGCATTAATGCACAACACTTTTATCTCAGAAACCATATCATAAGGAATTAACTGGCTTATATAATATGGTTTGTGTTAAAGTGTGTTAGTGTGATACAGACAATGTGTGCAAACGGAATGTGGTTAAAGAATATTAACTGTATATATGTATAAACAGTGGTTTGATTAATGAGGAAGATACCTTGGCTTCTGTGTCTTGCCTTCTGCTGTTATAAGGGTAGTTTTTGTTTCATGTTTAATAAACATCTTTCATCAAATATTAACAAAGTCTGATTTACTACTGAGCAAGTACCATCATCAAGCGTTAGGAAACACACACACACTGTGCTTTACATTTTATCAGTACGTTTGAAAAAATTTCACTACTTCTTCTATCCCGTACTTTTATTGTTCTTTGCATTGTCCTGTTCCACTCTGAGGATGACCACTTACTTCACTATATGTTCATCCACTGGAAGACAAGAATTTATCGAGTTCAGCAGAGTTGGGCATTTAAGAATATCTTCAAAGTTGAACTGTTAGAAGTCTAGAACTTTATAAACGTCAGAGTTTTACCCGAGTAAATATAAACTGTGTATCTAAGTTGAATTTCGCAAAGTATTAAGTTTCTAGACCTCTATTTGTCTACATATCTACTTTCTTGTGCGATTCTGTACATGAAATAATAATAAAGTATTAATGTTTTTCGTAAAAATAACTGATTCCCAAATTTAGGTCTATGCTTATACTTTCTGTCTGTATTTTAATCAGAATACTGACATCACTTTTTCATACAATGGATACTAAGATATAGAATGTGTATCGATTTATTCTACTCTACCTTACTTACCTAGAATAAATAAGTTTTAAGGGATTATAATTCTCATGAGGGTTTTTTTATATTTTTAAAAAATAATGACATGTCCATCTTGTCCTAAAATTTGCTCAACTTTTAAAATATTTAGCTAGCCATATTTCCCAGCCATTGTAATTACTGTAATAGGGTTGTATACACGTCAGTGTAATTAGTTTTAAAAAAACGACAATTCATATGACGATGAATATGTTTTCACGATTCTTTTTTTTCATTTATCTATATATCTACTGTAAATTCTACTCTGTATGTTAGACATAGGATGTATTACAGCCATACAAAAATAGGCATAGTCTTCAGAAAAATACTAGGCTTAAATGTCTCATTTTGCAGTGTAACAAGATATAATAAAACCTTTTCAATATTTGGTTTGTGTAAGGATTAGATTTGTTTTGACGAGTTGATCATGGATTCAGATCAGTTAGAGAACCATTGGAAACAAGCGTGAGTAAGGTTCGAATCAAGGACCTTCCAGTTATAAGGTGGTTGCGCTATATCACGAATTAGTAGAAGTTAGAATTCATGGATCGGCCATTGAATCTAGTCCCAATGGCTGAGTGGTATATGAGCTCACCTTGTAACTGGAAGGTCCTGGGCTCGAATCCCTGTTGTGTGTGCGTACCGCCGAAGCAGGAAGCA